CAGTCATTAAATCAAACACCTGTATTGCACAATGCAGAACCACTCACACACCAAATACAAGAGCTGAAATCACTCAGTCATTAAATCAAACACCTATACTGCACACTGCAAAACTATTCACACACCAAATACAAGGGCTGAAATCACTCAGACATTAAACCAAACACTTACACTGCACTCTGCAGAACCAACTTGTACTCAAGTGAACACTTTTCACCGAACCTGCTCTCTTCATACCATCGAATAGAGAGCTTCCTACCAATCACCACAAACCGGAGGCATGAAGGCCTCCTACAGAGAAAAACAACCACAAACCGGAGGCATGCCGGCAAGTAGAACATCATTGACATAAGCTAGGGCTGTGACAAAGGAGTCACCATTTGTGGATGTAAAGAGGGAGTAATCAGTATGAGATTGTTTGAGCCCATAAAGAGATTTCTGGAGTTTGCAAACTTTATTATCACCATCTTTGGCAAAGCCTTGAGGAATGGCCATATACACTTACTCATGGAGATCTATGTAAGAATGCATTATTAACATCGAATTGATGAAGTTCTCATTTCTTAATAGCAGCTACAACAAATAGACATCGAACAATTGATAATTTTGCAACTGGCACAAAGGTATCATGATAGTCCAAACCTTCAACTTGGGTGTATCCTTTGGCTACCAAATGAGCTTTGAACCATTCAACTGAACCATCGGCTTTGTATTTACTTTTGTACACCCACTTGGATCCAATGGCTCGTTTTCCAGGTGGTAAATCAACAAGAGTCCAAGTATTGTTATGTTCAAGAGCAGAAATCTCATCAGCCATAGCCTTCCGCCATCGCGGATCAGCATTGGCTTGAGTAAAGGTGGTGGGGTCTGATTCTAAATATGAGGTACTAGCTGAGTTGGATTGGGGGGCTAGGGAAGGTGGGAGATCACAAACAAAATCTTGGAGGTGAGAGGGGGTTTTAAGTGTTCTTTTGTGTCAGCCAAATAGGCCTGGCTGCGCTTAGCTCATCAACAACGCATTTAGTAGGCATGGGTGTAGAGGTGTTGTGAGGCATTGGTGGAATGGATGCAACTGTAGTTGGATCTTGTGCTGGTGGATGAAATTCAGGGGAAGTTGGTGGTGTAGTGAAGTCATCAAATGTTGGGTTTATAGGGGGAAAGAGTCTTGGTGTTGGTGGAGGTTGGTCAGCATTACATTGCTGATTTGAGTAAGGGAATTGAGACTCGTAGAAGGTGACATCTTGGCTTGTAAATAATTGGTTGGTTTCAAGGTTATAAAGCCGATACCCTTTATGGTCATAAGGGTAGCCCAAAAAAACACATCTAATGGCTCTTCTAGCAAATTTGTCACGTGGTTTGGGTGTGAAATAACATTTAACAGATGCAACCTAACACCTTCATGTGGTCATAAGATGGTGGGGTGTGAAATAACATTTCATAGGGTGATTTTCTAGATAAAAGAGGTGTGGGTTGCCCTGGTCATAAGTCGGTTGATAATGTAAACTGCTGTTTGTAGGCACTCACCCCAAAATGAGATAGGCATGTGAGCATGAAATTGGATTGCCCTGGACACTTCCAACAAATGCCAATGTTTTCTCTCAGCCACACCGTTCTGCTGGGGCGTGTTTACACAACTACACTGATGTTCAATGCCCTGTGCAGCGAAGTAATTTTAAAGAGGGCAAGCATAAAACTCAGATGCATTATCTGAGCATACAACTTGAATTGCATACCCAAATTGGCGGGGAACCATAGCACAAAAAAAGAGCTAGAAAACAACTGCTTCTGATTTATTCCGAAGTAAACCCAAGTACACTTGGTAAAATCATTAACCAATGTGAGGAAGTAGTGTGCTCTAGTGTGTGATGGAGTTTTATACCCCCCACCCCCCCAAATATCACAATGCACTAGTTGAAAAGGTTGAGAGGATTTTGTTTGTCTTATAGGAAAAGGGATTCAAGTTTGTTTTGCTTGGTGGCAAGCATCACAACAGTAGTTTGAAGCATTGAGGGGAACACCAAGTATCGAAGAGAGGCATTGACGAGAAGCGTGTCCTAAGCGGTAATGCCAGATGGCTAAAGTTGGGGTTGTGGTGGCAGTGTGAGCAAGTGACTGAGAAGAGGCGAAGGTGAACTGGTAGAGGCCTTCATGCCGATGCCCCACCCCAATCACTTTCTTGGAAGCTAAGTCCTAGAGAACACAGATGGAAGAAAGGAAGGAAATAACACAATTGAGTTGTTGTGTTAGTCTACTGACAGATAGCAAATTACATGTCAATTGAGGTATGTAAAGCACATTTGTAATGATCAAAGATTCCAGGGATACAGACCCTTCTGATATGGCTGGAACAGAGTCTCCATTGGGCAGTCGAACAATCTTGGGTTTATCGAATGTGATATAATCAATAAAGCATGATGGGGATGAAATCATATGGTTTGTGGCACCACTATCTAGTATCCACTCAACATTGGTTGCAGTCTTACCAGCGGTATTGGCAGAAATGGCATCAGATTCTTTGCTCAAGAGGGATAGAAACTGGTTGATCTATTGGACTGTCAGAGTGGGAAGTGAAGGAGTGCTACTGGTTGATGCTTCGGTGGCTTCGGAAGTTGCACAGGAGCTAGATCGCTGATTATCGCCCCGTTGATTTAATTGGGATTTATCCCATCCAGGTGGATATCCCACTAGTTGGTAGCACCGATCTCTTGTATGTCCACGCAATAATATTTGGAACAACAAGTTGTTGAGGACCGAGATGGGGGCTTGGATGAAGCGTTCATGGCTGCAGCTTCCGGTGCTGGTCCTTGCATCGCCGAGATTGTCTGGTGTCATTCTTCTTGGAGAACAAGGGCATAGGCTTTATTTAACATTGGGAGTGGTTCTCATCCGAGTATACTTGATCTAATGACATTATAGGACTCATTGAGTCCCATCAAGAACTGGTGTAAACGTTCCTTTTCGCATTCAATGGCAAAGAGTCTTGCTGCGCCACCGCAGGAATATTCGGGCAAGTCGGTTAAGTTGGCCAGCTCATCCCAGAGCGTTTTCAGTTTGGTGAAATATACAGAAATGCCTAATTCTCCTTGTTGAAGTAAGGCCAGATCATTCTTCAGTTGATGTATGTGAGGAACGTTCCTTTGAGAAAACCGTTCTTGGAGCTCGGACCAGATTTCTGATGCAAATTCGACGAAGGCAACGCTTCCATATAGTTCTTTAGAGAGGAAATTGAAATCCAAGATGTCACCATCACATTGCATTTGGATCAGGCATTTTCTTCCGGTGAAGCGATGGGTGGTCGGGGCAACAATCCGTCAAAGAAACAGAGCTTGTTCTTTGCACGAAGTGCCATTCTCATCGCTTGATGCCATACCGGATAATTTTCTCCGGTGAGCAGGCATGAGACCAGAACGAGCCCTGGGTTGTTTGACGCATGCAGGAACTATGGTGAACTGGGATCCAAGATCTGCGACATGGACGAGCTTCCACTGGTTTCAGACTCCATGAAAGAGTTTGTCTTGCATCAAACTTCGGTTACCTGCTCTGGTACCATGTAAAATGATATTAGGATCGAAACGAATCTGTGAATTGTTTCATTTCTTACACATGTATTTATAGATACAGGTGGTGAATAATTGAGTGCGGACAAGTTTGTTACAGATTAACTAATTCTTGCAAGTGGGCCACGTGGCCCAAGACTCTTACTCTAACAAACTTGACCTCCATCAGAACCGAAATAAAGTGAAAATGGTGATATACAAATGAGAAAATGAGTTGTACTAAATCCATTGTACTGATTTTTATGATCTTTCCTAGGCCTTCCAGGTGGCTTACCAAGATCCAACATACTAATGGTTGGGTTATTCCAACTTTTGGGAATGTCTTTTGAGGTTTGATTATTGAGTGGATGGGCAAATGAGGTTAAAACACTAAGAACATTTGTTTGAAAAAAAACAAAAGATTTAGTGTACCATACGATTAATGGGATTAACATTTTCATGATAAAAGTTTACCACATATCCACGTGTAAATAGATTATTTTATGGTAGTTTGGCCACGTGAAATAACCCTAAAGTACACTTTTGAAATATCCACCTGGGTGTTCTATAAAAGTAAGTCATCATACTAACACACCTCTTATAGGAGTTATAGTTGAGCTAGGACACCACTATGCATTTGTTCCAGTTCTATCCAATCCTGAGCCTAATCCACCTAGGAAATCTCCACGAGAGTCCTATTCGAATTAAGAAACCTCAACTGTTACACTCTCTTCTTGTTTGATGGTATGGATTCCTTATTTAATATTCCAAAACCTTGAGGTCACTTCCAATGATCCAACATATCAAGTTATTTGCAAACATAACCTCACTTGTTCATATATCAAAATATGACTGAAAGAAATTGCACGACTCTATGACCTTAGGTCCAAGGAATAATGTTGTTTTTGCATACAAGTGAAGGCATGTCTTTAGATTGTAAATGTTTATCATTGTCTCACTCATCTGGACTGATCAAATACCTTTTGTCCTGCATTTTCCATATGCAAATATTGCATACTTTTTGGAAGTTTTGTTTCTTCTCTTTCTCTATAGCTTTTATGATCACTCAAAGTGTGTCTAGATTTAGATCACTGTATCAATTACCTAGCATGCCATATGTATTGTTTTTCCTCCATGAGTAGCAATTCTTGCATAAGAGTTCAATTTGGGTTGGGTAGGGAATTTGTTAAATTTTCAATGGGCCTGAACCCTAACCTGAGCCAAATGTAGTTAAAATTCCTCAAGTTGGGCTCCCTGACTTGCAGTCCTACTCTTGCTTTCTTGATTCCTTTAAATGAGAAAGTATGGGAGAATATGAATTTTTATTTAGGCACTTAGGACCAATGTGACCTCATAGGAAGGTGACATAGAGGAAAAAGCTAACTCAATTTAGGTTTTCCACCTCACTTTGCATGTGCTAAAATTGTATACAAACAGAATACAAGGTAATTTGTACAGAGAGTAACCTGGCTTATGACACTAGTTACCCAAAGTCAGCCAGGCTTATTATTTCTATACAATACATTCATATCAGTACTTAGCAGAAAAAAAAAACACCCAATTTAGGTTTGAAAAAGAGCATGTTTTTTCATTGTCTGGTTATAGAAAGGAGCAGTAAATGTATGTGGAGAAAAAATTTCTTATCTCTCAGTATCTTGTATCTTTTTAATGCTACTGTAATGTAGTTCCTTTTTTTTATTGTTTTTTCCAGCTGACTTGGCTACCATTATTGTAAAATTTTCTAGTGATTAACTGTAAATAGTTTCTTGACAGAGACCTCTCTTTCAACTTTTTCAATGGTTCAATTCCTGAAAGCCTTGGAATGCTAACATCATTAAAGAGACTGTAAGAGCATTAACTCAGGCATCTGATTTTCCTTGGACTGGAAACTTGATAGGAATATGCAGAATGGAGATCTAATCTAATTCATGGTGTCAGGAACCTCAATGGCAATCTTCTATCTGGAAGAGTCCCAGCTGCACTTGGAGGAAGGCTTCTTCACAGAGCTAGCTTCAAGTATGTAATCATTTTTCACATTACTATTGTCGATAAAGGATTGAAGATACAATATTGTTATTTTAATACAACTAGAAATATTTACAGCATGTTTGGACGTAAGGATGCCATCTGAAATGAAATGATAACTGTTATGGCATTTCATTTCAATTCAGAGCATTGTTGTCATCTAAATTCGAGCCATTTTTGGCTTAAGATAGAAATGAAGTACTCATTCACATTTTTTTCTTTAAAAGAAATAACTTCATTTTAATTCAGAGCTTTATGTTCAAATTAGGACTGCAACTTGGGCAGGCTTGGGTTTCAGCATTTTCCAAACAGCCCAAAGGCCTATGTAAATTCTTCAAGTCAGGTGCCCAACTTGCACCAATAGTTAAATTTCCATGGAAACCTAAATGAAATATTCATTTGTGACATACAAACATGCTGTTAAGAGCTACATTCTATTTATCAGATTGTGTACTGCAAAATGAGGATATTAACTACTGCTATATGCAGTTTTACAAGTAATGCAGGCCTTTGTGGCATGCCAGGACTACCAACTTGCGGACCCCACCTTTCCACTGGTGCAAAGATAGGCATTGCATTTGGGTCCCTTGTGGCATTTTTACTCCTTATTATCTGTTCGGTATGTTGGTGGAAAAGAAGACAAAATATTCTGCGGGCTCAGAAGACTGCAGGTATGGATCTTGGATATTTGTTGATCTGTGAACGCATTTGAGTTTCCATTCAATCTACACAAGCACGACCTTGCACACATAGATTTTTATTTTCTTATACAGAGATTTAAGTACCTGCTTTTTACTCTTTCCAGCAAGAGATGCTCCCTATGCAAAAGCAAGAACACATTTTGTGCGTGATGTGCAACTGACTACTAGGCATCATGGTCATGACATCCCCAGGACTGCTGTTGAGAGTGGACCTAGCTTGCTCACATGATTGGTGAAAGGAAAAAAGGAACAAAAAGAATGTTTCCATCTGTATTTTGCAGTCCTGAAGTTTTTGAGATTTGTCTGGGCTGTCCTGAAATTTCCTTATTCTATAATGCTTCAAGTTCATCAAAAAACCTGTTTAGTAGCCCTTTAGAATCCATGTATTGCTTGTACAATTCTAGATTCTAAAATATCCCCTTGCATTTAGAGTGGTGGTATATGTTGTAGATTATAATGTAAATTGCTCATTCTTCTCTTTTTCCAATTTTCAGCCCAAAAGTGGGAAGTAGACAAAGAATGGTTTCCTCAGATGTGAAGTTAAAGAATGCTTTTTTGTTCATGACAACAATTCTGCATATGTGGAGGGCATTTTGTATTGATCAAGGCATGGCCTATATAATAAACTAACGACTTTAAGGATAACTTGTAGCTCCAACAGTTAACAAAATACAAAGTAAAATCACATTTTCAAACAAAAGAATCATACTGGTCCCAACATTGTCCAAAATACTCCATTTTTTTGAACAAGCAGTACCTGGTTGCTTTAGCTTAAAAGGAAGGCCATGAATGGAATGCTCCCACCTGCTAATTTTAAGGGCTTGTTATTTAACCATGGATGTGGTCGTTGGTAGGTTGGAATCGCATAACAGGATTCTTGCACCCGATCCTATATAATTGGGATGGAGCTTTATCAAGTTATGTTGAGAAGGAGGTTTGCCATATATTAGCATCTGAGAATCTGAGATATAGAAGTGTTATGGCTTGTCGAAAGCTCAATATTACTGCCTTGCTACGTAACTCTTGTGGCAATTACTTGAAAAGCCTCATTCGTTTGCCGGTATCTCGTAGGGGCCAGGGGGCAAATTGGTCAATGGGTAATTGACCAATTAACCCTCTTCTCGCGTGGGACCCATGGAAAGCAAATTTTCTAAAGAATATCAGTTACCCAGATAATTGATTAACTGATACTCTCCTCTCCTGGAAGATGGGTAAGATGCTTATCCACCCGCGAATCTTCTACTACCAAACTCTTTACTTAGTTAAGTGGAAGTGCCACTGAACAGTGAACACTAAAATGAACGAGGCCTAAATCTTAATTGAATTCAAGTTGACCGGTTCATTTTGGAAAAAGATAAGATCAAAACCATAGGAACTTCCTTTTGCAATCAAAGCATTTTTTTTTTCTTTTTGACTTCTTTCTGATTTGTTTTTCAGTCGGCCATCTTAGGTCCATGCTCGCCTTCTAAAGATCCCTTGGTGTGTTCTGACTTCTAACTTCCTGCAAGCAAGTTGTTTCCCAGAAGTGTTTTTTGGTATGGCCAAAAAAAGTAGTGGCAATTTCAATAAAAAATCTCTTTTAATATAGTGTTTATATGTTTCTGTTTTTCTTTTTATTTATTTATTTTTTGGTGAAAAAGGAAATTCATTAACAAGCAAACAAACAAAAAAAACAGACAACAAGAATATCCTCCTCTATCAACAAAAGAGGAAAAAAAAAATACAAGATGGAATTGAAATTTTGATGTAAATGATCACGTGAGAGCAATCAAGACGGAAAAAAGTTATGAGATTCCTACGTTTTGGGATGCGAATGGCATCTGTTTCAATTGGAATTCAATCCAATTCGATATGATCCGATCTCCTAAGATTGTGTCTACTTTTAATTAATTATTAGTAAAGTTAATTTGTGTATTTCAGATTTATGATATTTAATAACAAAATCATTCCGTTAATATATACAATACTCAGATCATCTTTAATTTAATTTAAATTAATGATATTCAATATTTGAATTCAGCACGTGCCCAATCTAAACCCATTGTGTTTACAATATTAATTAATTATTAAGAAATCAAATTTGGTATTTAGGTATATACTAGTTGGGACCCGTGTGTTGCATGGGCTTTGTTAAAAGAATTGAGGCAAAAAGAACTAGAGGTGCAACTTGGGTGGGCCCAACCTGAGCCTGACCCGGCTCAACCCGAGATTTTGCCCATGTTGGGCTTGACCTTGTAAACTTCAAGTTGGCTTTGGGCCAAAAAACTCAGGCCTAACAGGTTGGGCTTGGGTTGAGCCCTCGTGTAGCCTGAGCCCCACCTAACACAATCAATCTGAGCATGCCCAACATTTTATAATATGCATATTTATATATTATCAATTTATTATACCTGAAAATTGAGCTACAAGCCTGATCCCAGATGTGTTGGCTCTGATGCCACTGAAAATTGCGCTACAAAGCTCAATTTGGTCTTGACCTTGAGTTGGGCCAAGCCTGGGCTCAAGGTTTGAGACTTAGGATCAACCCAAGCCCAACCCACCCAAGTTGTACTCCAAGAAGGATTCCTAATTGTATTAGATTTTAATTTTTATCAGACTATTTTAACTTTTACTAAATTTTTATTTAATGTTGATTTTTGTTGTTTTTAAATGGATTAGGGGATTTAAAATTAATAATAATTAAGTTTCAAATCATTTTGTTAGTTTTTTAAATTTTATAATAGTAAAATTTAGTAATTTTAAACAATAATTTTCAGTATTGTTAAAATTAATTTTCAAACCTATGTGATGCATGGGCTTTGTTCAAAGAAATTGAAGCAAAAGGAGATAAAAGTGCAAGTTGGGTGGGCCTAACCCGAGCCCAGCCTGGCTCAATTATTAACTAATCATTAATTAGTCAATAATTAATAAATTTTTATTGCATTTATTTTTAGTAATTAGTCAATAATTAATAATTAGTCAGTTTATTAGTCAATGATTAATAATTAGTTGGTTTAATTGAAGCATATATAAAGCAACATCATTTAAGTCACATGGGTCAAGCTTGAACTGGATATCAGAAAATCGATCACACATGATTAGGAATGGCAATTTTCCTCATTTCCCCGATCCACGTGGTAATCCACCTCGAATGGGATGGGGATGGGGATGATTTCCCCCCGTAGGGATGGGGATGGGGAATTTTTCATCCTCATTGGTGAGGATGGGGCGGGGGTGGGGAAAGCACTCCCCGCCTCGTAGGATCCTTATTAATATATATATGTATATATGTATGAATGCGTTTATATATGTATATGTACACGCATGTATATATATTAATATTTTTAAAAATATAATTGAATATGTTTAAATCTTTTTTAATAAGATTGTAAATTTTAATTTAATTTATTTTTATTTTTTTAAATAAAATAAAAATAAAATGATTGACATTATAAAAAATCCTGAGGAATGAAGATCCCGTGGGGATAGGGATAACCTTATCCCCGTTAACGGGGATGGGGATGGGAGAGGCTGGCTGCCCGTCTCTGCCCCACCCCCACCCCATTGCCATTCCTATACCTGATCCATTAAGCTAGGTCATTTAAGTTAAATGGATCGGACCTGAATTGGATAGGAAAGGACCTGACCCATACCCAATCCATTTAACCTGCCTTCTTCACCCGATCCTGCATATACGGTATTCACTCGAAAGAGCGAACACAACATATCACATATGTGAATGGTGTAGTGGTGCTGAAATGGATATGAGAAACCCAAAAACAGCCTAAGAAACCATTGAATATGAGATCGAATTACTTGGGAACAATGGACGGCGGATATTTCACTAATAAATTTTGAAATTTATTAATGATTCTCACTAACTACAACTAATTTATTAATAATAATTTGCTAATTTGTTGTAAGTAATGATGATTATTTATGTTTTTTACTAATTTGTGGTAATTTAATAATATTCAAAATTATTCAAAATTTTCACTAATTACATTTATTTGACATTAATTAACTAATCAATGGTTGAATAAACCATTTCGGTTGGGTCTGGGTCAAAAACGTCGAGAACGCTAGGTAGACCCAGATCATAATAATTCTACTTGGATCCGATTTCGGGTATGGAGCAAGGAACAGAGAAACTGGTATTATACCTTCTTCTTCACCCGTTTTTCGCTATAGTGGATTAGTGGCCGCTCAACAAAGTGACCACAGTAGCGAAGAATGGAATGGTTCCCTTTCACTATAATTTTGCTACCAAATCGACTCAAATGAATAGTTGGACATTCTTTGTATAAAAACTGGCTCAAATAAGATAGGAACACATACCTTAGGAAGGTTTTTTTATTGACATTAGAGGAGAGGATTGATTTGCAACATGAGTGAGTTGAGATTAATTTGAAGAACCAAAAGCACCTGAAATACGAAGAGATGACATATAGCATTAAATACTGAGAGATGCACAGTGAAAAAATGAGAGAAAACTGATAAGTAAACGAAGAAACATCACCTGTTCCATCGCTGCAAGGTGGTGCCCCTATTCCACTCCTATTTCTTTGTCCCAAACAGAGAGAGAGACGGAAGCAAAAGTACCTGCAAGATTTACTTGTTTTTAATAGTAACCAGAGACTCAGCTACCGGTTTGGAAGATTAATAACCAAATCGAACGAAAACCGAATTGAAGACACTAAAATTTGATGTGCAGAACCTGAAACATAAATTTTCATAATGAGAGAGAGAGAGAGAGAGATCTCTCATAAAATTCCATTTACCTTTATTCCGTAAAAGTTTATTGAGGGGGCTGAGTTCTCTGCTAGGGTTGGGGTAATGGAGAATGCCACTGGATCCTATCCATTTGCAGCCATATTAATATTGAGAGGAAATAGAGATCTTATACCGGCTTGTTATTTATATATTATTGGTCATATATTGATTTTTTCCATTGTTTTTTGAAATCATCTACGTAATCGGTTCTATTTCGCCCTTGAACCATCAACTCTTTTGGATTAAATAATGGTTTTTGATCTTTTTTATTTCTATTTTTTTTTTTTTTAAATTACAACAAACCATCTATTCTGATTGAATGGTTGAACTGTTGACCTGAAAACCAGAGATTAATTGTCTATTTGTTTACCAATAAATGAGGGAGAGGGGAAAAAGTTGATCAATTTTACAATATTCATTTTGCATTTAATAATGGATTCTATGATAAAATTAGTTCCACTTCACTGAGCAAAACTTGTCTATTTCTTTAAGAAGAAATTTTATAAAATATAATGGAACAATTTTACCCATTTTAATATTAATTTTTATGCGTAAAAATGTCCTGAAAATCAAAAGAATAGATTAATGAACAAAGTTGTAAACGAACTAAACCCAAGCTGGTTCCGGCTCCGGATCGATTTTTTGTAAATAATAAGTATATGATTCATAGCCTTCATTAATCATCTCTTCAAAGCTAGCTTCTTATGAGGCTGAAAGCTTTGCCCCATGAAAATGGGTCAGACAATTAATCCAGCAACAAATCTTAGCCATGGAAACGCGTGGATCACTCTGTGGTGGATAATTTGTGTAGTGGAACTGTGAGAGATATACACGAGAATCTTCTGTTTGTTTTCTGGTGAATTTCATGGCAGGTGGGAAGTGGAAACTCTGTTGTTGGCTCAAAATTTCAGAGAGAGAGAAGCAATGGCCAATGGGCACAGAACACATACCCAATCCAATTCTGCCTGTCCAATCAATGGCAGCATAGCTCCATACTCTACTTTACATGGTTGAAATGAACTCAGAGAGATGCTGTTGGTGGACAAGGACCTGATGAAGTGACCTGTTTAAAGATAAATCTGTCATCTTGCTTGCTTGATGTCTCCCTTTTTTTTTTTCTTTTCTTTTAATCCTTCATTGTTTGTTATTGTTATTTCCTTCTGTACGAAGTTTCTTTGTACGTGAATGTGAGGTCACGTAGCAAAGATATCAAGAACGATTCCTGAATCCTCTGATTAGCCATTTCACCTAGTCCGGCACGCGGCAGCTCTAGCTCTAAAACAGCTCAACCTCTTTGCCTCCTTCAATCACTCTTCCACACGCCAAAAGCAACTCCTTTTTTTAGGTGCACATCCTCACAGGTTTATTTATTTAATTTAACTAATACTGACGTTTCAATTCAAAACGAAAACGAGATTATATTAGCCACATCATCAGTCTACGTGGCAAGAATATACAGAAGAAAAGAAACCATGACAGCCCATCCGCCTTCTCTTTCAACTTTCAGCCCTTTCGTCTTCATTTTGCGTCTTCTCTTATCTAAACCCCCTTCACCTTTTCAGTTGCTTTCAACCATCCATCCTAGACTGGCAGTGGGCCAATGATGAAGAATTCATAATCATTCATTCATTCCTTGTATTGAATTAAGACAGCCGCACATAATTTTCACCAAAATTTTTTATTTGTTTCAGTAGTTTAATTAGCATTGCGGTTTTTTGATATAGTTCAATGAAAATTTCAGTTATTATTTAATACATTTATTGACCCACCATTAGCATTATAGCTCTGTGAACTGTCTGCCAATGACCCCGCAGCTGAGTTTGTAGGTTGGCGTCACTCCCGTAGAGACGTTCGCAGCAGGATCATTGTGTGGACGCACACAACCCCACTATTCAATAATCAATACCCCTCACTCTCTCCCGAAAAATAAAATACAAGAAAAGAAAAAAAAAGGCATTATCGCTTTTTCCAAATTCTCATTGTCTAATCTGAATTCTGAAAAGTCTGGTCTCTAGACGGGGTCTATCCGAAAATTTAGCAATTCCTACGGCACTGAAAGGCTATATCCAAATTTATTAATTAATCAATTGTCTAAAACTATATAATAAATCAATGGGTATTAATATATTACCATTTTAATATTTATACATGAAAAAAAGAAAAAAAGTCAAAAATACTTTCAAATAGAAAATACATAAAAACATAGAAATTATAAAAATTATATAAATTGCAAACAAAATAAAAAATTATTTTCAAATTATAAAAATTGAAAAACAAAATCAGAAAATAAAAAATATAGAAAAAACACTAAAAATTATAGAAAAATACAGAAATTACAAATAAATAACAAAAGATACAGGAAAAATTATAAAAAAACATTAGAATTTATAACAAAACACTAAAAATGCAAAAAAAAAGAAAATTAAAAACTGAAAAGACCATTTTTCCTCTAACTCGCCATTCAAAGGTAATTTGGTCAAAAAAATTGTTATTTATGTTGATATGGACACTTCGGTTAAGAAGTATTAACAATGCATTAACAGAATGTGAGTTTTGAAAAATAAAAATTTATTGACATGGTGAATTTTAGGCATTTTGAAAAGTTGTGGTGAGTTTAAGGGAAATGTTGAAAACTAATTGTGAGTTTTAGACAATTTCTATAAAATAAATTCTACACGCTTTAATATAAAAACTGGTGAATGACCCCATACTAAGTACGAGGAATCTGTAATGTTAAATTTACACTATGGAATTAATACTATTAAATTTATATTTATTGATTTTTTAAATAATTATTAAAATTTCAAGAAATATTTATTTCAAAAAATAGCATTTTAATAATTATTAGAATATGAATAATTTTCTTTTGTTATAATAGTAAAGGGTTAATGAATAACAACTTTTGCATTTTCTACATTTCTTTAGAAATTGATTGAAAATGGTAGTAGTGGGTTGTGGGCTTTAGCAGCAATTCCTCAAAAAATGCCACACATCTATCTTTCCAGAAAAATGAGAAGGCCATGTATCTGAATGGTGAGCAACTGTAGCATAATAGTGAGTTATGGACTTTAACAGGAATTTATCAAAAATTGACACATGTTTAATTTCTAGAAAATGAAAAGACCTATTTAAATGATAATAGTGGGTTTAGGGCTTTAACATAAATTTCTCAAAAAATACCATATATCTAAATTTAAAAAACCCACGAGTCCAAATGATGAGGCTGAAAGCTTTCCTTTAATATATATATTATTAATACTAAACCCAATTAACCAATTTCATTAAAATTTGACGTGGGCTTTGGGGGTTCTGATTGGACCATGAGATTCTTCCAATATCATCATACTCTTTCGGTATCATAGAAACCACAAAACCAAATTCGAGGTAAATCTATTACTAGACACGTGGCTAATTAGTTGGAGGAAGCGATTTTTGCGCGCTGATCCTTGCGAGCTCAATGGTTACTCTTAATCTACTTCGTTATTTACAGATTTAACCACGTAAGACGACGTGACGCTCTAACGACAAAACGCGGAGGAAGAGTAGATTGTAGATGTCATGGAACAGTGTGGGCCCCAGGGAACGCCGACCAAGCGGAACTCAGTAGCCTCCAGCGAGTCGAACTCGGCTGTCCCCCGAAGTTCGACACGACGCCGATTCCGTCCACGTGGGACGCCTCATCCACTTCAACGTACAAAAAGCAGAGTAGCTATTCTCCACCAACTACACGACACGACACGACACCCACCTATGTTTTCGTCAGTCGTCACACTGCAGCAGCTCCGAAATTTAATAATTAATAAAAATATTAATAAAGAAAAGAAAGAAAAGAGAGAGAAATAGCAGGCGCCGCTCCATCAGTTTCCGTACTACAGTAGGGCTAACGTCATACTGTTCTGGTGTAGTCACATGAGAGCCCCCTGCGACACGTCAAATCAGGCGGCGGCTCTCTCTGCTCGAGGCGGCCCAATCCATGTCATTCATTGTTTAT